ATTATTATTATTGTTATTGCTATTATTATTATTATTGTTATTATTGTTATTGTTATTATTATTATTATTATTATTATTATTATTATTATTATTATTATTATACACGAATTATCGTGTCATATCGCTAGTGAGAAAAACTTTACAAAATCCTCACTAGTTAAAAAGGTCATTAACAAGTACCGGTGAATACTTTGCTCATTTAAAACAAACGCAACATCCTATTGTCTTTTTATGAATTGATGATAAATACAAGGTCTTTAATAGTTATTAATTTGCTCGAGGAAAGCCTATATTATATAATAAAAAAAATTGTAAAATAATTATAAAAATAGCTGAAAAAGCATGCATAAAAAAAAAAACAAATTAAATCATAGTAAATTAAAATTTCGTAAGAATTTTCCAAAGGTATTCGTCGTTCGTTAGTAAATGGGATGGCCATGTTTGTTAAGTTAAGCATTGCCGTAAATCTAGAATGTAATTCGAATTTCAATTACTGCGACTTCCACGGAAAAGAATCTCGAGAATTCACAATCGAACAAAGCACACTCGAACATTGGCGCACGGCATTTATCAATTTATATACGACGTAATTAAACCAAATCGAAAGTCACCAGCCAACACACTCTGTTTCCTGAACCTGAAAAGGAAAAAGCCTGATCCGCTCGTGCATCGTGTTTCGAAGCAGACGACAGCGTAATCGAGCGTCGTTCTAACATTTTATCGCCGTTACGCACCCACTCGCACTATTAGTTAAGGAATCGTGAGGCTTAGGTACCTGATGCTCGACGGCGACGGTGTGATTCACCTGGGCGTTGTACACGGCAAGAACCGCGGGATTGAGGCGACCACGTGACGCCGGGCTCGGTGTCGACATTTTAATTGGCTCGCTCATCCTTTCGCGTGCTCCTTATTGACGCACGGCTAATCGTTTGTATCTTTCTCAGCGCTGCTTGGATAAGATCGGCAACCAAGTCTCGCCGACTATTCAGCACGACTACCTTCACACGCGGTGTACTTTGTGAGCACGTGGCACTTAAGCACGCTTAAGTCCACAGAGAGGGCGATTGGCCAATTGCACTACCGATAGTTTTAAATGGCCGCATCGGCCTATACTTTCAAATCTCGGCTTTTTAACTTTATTTCTTTCGCAGGCAAGCTACCACTGCTGCTCATATTTCACCTCGATCGTGAGTCATGCCGGGAAGATAAATCTATTATAGTAATGTAGACACTTGCACTGGTATTCTGAAATATCTAGCCTTGCCTTAGCCGATTGACAAGTGTCCCGGCCGCGTGACAAAAGTGGGATGTTAGAATGCTTCTCGTCCTTATTCTTCTACATATCGCACAATTAAATCACTTTATAATCACGCCTTGTAAAAAATTCAATCAAGTTTTTTATTTGAGATCGAAGAAAGTTTCATATTCCAATGAAAGCGAATATATAATTAGCCTGTAGAAAAAGCGCGGTTTTTCGACTTATTATTATTATTGGTAGTAGTGGTAGTAGTAGTGGTAGTAGTGGTAATAGTGGTAGTAGTAGTGGTAGTAGTGGAAGTGGTAGTAGTGGTAGTAGCAGTGGTAGTAGTGGAAGTGGTAGTAGTAGTGGTAGTAGTAGTGATAGTAGTAAATGCGTGTAAATAAAAAAGAGACAGCGCTCTTTCTAAATCACAGGTTTAACAATTTATTAGACGCATTCAAACGTTTTTCCCCAGATTCGGCACTATTCTTACAAAAGAGCAAAAGCCTACTTTTAATTATGTCAAACAATTTGAGATATGCAGAGATGGCTCGAACACATTGCTTTCCGCGTAATATTTTTATCAACTCGATGATATACCTAGGAAAGACATATTTTATTCAATAGTTTGCCTTGGACCATTGCTCATTATTATTAACAAAAAAGAATTAATTAATCTCAGCCCTTACTCCCAACCGAGCGCGTTTGCATTTTATTTATTTTATTAAAGTGTGGTTACGAAATAAACGAGATATTCAATTATCGGGCACGTTTAATAATATTATTTTTGTATGCATACGCACATAACTTGAGGCGAATAAGTGAATTATCATTGCGAGATGAAATGGCTTGCTCGTAGTACGCGGAGAAAGAACCATCAGAAACAAAACAAAAAAATTTACTTTACTTTCATTAAAACTCCCAACTCGCTAACAATTTTGAGGAAAAAGAAAGCTTAGAGAATGACTCGCAAGACATGAACTTCAATTTCTCATTTGATTGTTTTGCAAGCTCCAGTTTTATCCATTAATCGACGAGCGAACGAATCGTAAAACCAACTGCAAATCATCATTTGTCAATTTATATACTTTTATCGCTCGGATTTTCGAGCCGACAACGACTGGCTCCACGCTCAGGCTTCCTTCGGCCCTCCAAACACACACCCGCACACCCACTCTACCGACGCGCTCACTAATTTCCGCTAGATCCTCTCCTCGCTTCCACGTCGAAAATATTCAAACCGACTAAATAAATTCGGCCGGCTAAATTCAATAAACGTCAATTGCACAAATGAAAGCCTCCGATATGGCGACGCGGCACAACGACGATCTCGCCAACCATAGCCATCGCACTCTCCGCACTTATTATTATGAAAATTGAGGAATTCGTCACTACGATCGCATTCTTGTGACCTCGCGACTTTTCACACGAGGCGATCGGCGCGAGCGCTACGCGACTACTAATCAAAAGTCCTTCATCTCGGGGCCCGGTGACGTAAACCCCGGCGGAATTTCCTCGACTAGCTGTAAAATCGGCAGCGAGGCTTCGCGCTACGGGGGAGCGTCGGTGTGCCGCGGCTGCGAGATCGTGCGCCGAGCGAGTGGCTCGTTGCGATTAATTTGGGGCCCCGTCAAGTGATTTACGTCGGTCGACTCGAATCGCGCTGGTCGGTTGAGAGAACGGGGTCTCCCCCCCCTTCCTCCCGCCCTTCCCCACCAAGGCTTATTAGCAGCGGCTCGGGGGCCATTTCGCGAGAGGTTGCGCACTTCACCGCTTGGCGCGCGTTCGCCGCAATTGTTATTCGACGTACGTGTTAATTGAATTAGCGAGGTACGCTTCTTAACGAGCTCCGTTGGCCAGAGCAGAATTTGTGCAAGTCGCAACGAATTTGGCGAGATCGAGGTGTAGTTTTCCCAACCGATTGGCTACTCCTTACCGATTTCAGGCCACGGAGTTTGTCAGTTATAACAGCAGTCGCCGATCAATGAAACGACACGGATACGCGTCCCATTTATACCTCTCTTCTCCTCATCATCATCATCATCATCATCATCATCATCATCATCATCATCATCATCATTATTATTATTATTATTATTATTATTATTATTATTATTATTAACACTACTACTGTTGCTGCTGCTGTTGTTGTTATTATTATTATTGTTGTTGTTGTTGTTGTTGTTGTTGTTGTTATACATTCGCGCGCTCGTGTCATGGACTATCTTTAACTAATTGGCTTGATGATTTGCATTTGATGATCGTAAGCGATCGCTTCGCGCTGCTTGTCTCTGTTTAATTAAAGCTTAAGGAACTCTGAAGCGAACGAAAGAACGAACCATATCGTAGAAATATATCAAGGACCATAAAATATTCCGACGGATAGGGGAGCCGAAAAACATACTCCAGTTATTTTCCTACGCTACGACTGTGTTCTGTGCATTAACAAGCGGTAAAAGTTAAATAAATATTATCTCGATGAAAAATCGCGCGCCAAGAATCAGACATTTGTTTCAAGAGAGTAAAGGATGTGCCGCTATGCGATCACACTATTGGAAATTTAAAAAGGCCTAATTTTTTATTACGTACAACCCCGATATTGACAAAACTACCCGTCTAACTGCATTTTATATCGCGTTTTTTCAATACGCCGTGCACTATCGAGTTTCTTAAGAGATGCCCAATGCTGCCGTCAGCCTCAATGGAAAAACCAATAATGATTTTGATAAATACTTACAACAATTGGTAAAATATTAAATCGCACGTAATCCGTAATGTTTGCTCGGCAAATAATGGAAAAAGTATATATTTGCTTAGTTGATTCATGCGTTAAATTGAAGACTATTAGAAACCTATTGGTAGGTAAATTGTTATCTTATGATAAGATACGCCTTGGAAGTAAAAATACGAGTTATGCCACATAATGTATTATTTTCGTAGAAATTAATTTATAAAAAAATCGCGGTTTAATGGGCGTTTAGCCGTATTAGTCGATAAAATCGTAGCTGTTAATAAAGAAAAGAACTTTTTACAAAATCGTGATAAGTGATTCAGAATCGAGCGATGCAGGAGAGTAAGCGCACGCACGCCGTCGATGAAAAAATAACACCAGAATCCCGCACTTGTATATCAACCTCGTCAACGTATTAGATAATTAGTCGGAAATTAAAAAAAAATCCATAAGTAAAAAAACTCTTAAGAACCCTTACTCCGCACCTCATTAGCACATTAACAGGTGGAATCCTGACTCACTCGTCCGTACTTGTCTAGGTGGTTCGCGTTGCCATCTGGGCTACGAGAGACTGACGAAAGCCGCAACGCGAATCAGTCTGACAGAGTAATGAAAGAAAGAAGAGAAAGAAAACTAAGTAAGATAGTAAGGAAAGAAAGTGCTGCGCTGGTCGCGGGCGCACTCGTATTACTTTCTGCGCGTGAAGAACGAAAGATGTGTACACGCGAGCGTGCGAGAAAGAGCGAGAGGGAAGAGGGGGAAAGACTCAAGTGCACCGTGAGTCGCGGGTATGGGGCGGACGCGTCCGCGCACCCAGACATTCGGCGCGTAACTAAGTTCAAATGGCATAATCGAGGTACGCGGTAAATACAAGCGTCTTCGCACGCCTGTACTTACACACTTGTATACGTGCGTACACGCGAAAATGCGCGCGCGCATGTATCCATACACATAAGTGTGTACGTATATGTTTATAAGTATATTTATTTTTTTGTTTTATATGTATATGCGAGTGAACGCAATACTTACCGCTGTAAGCGTAAGGACAGTGGTGTTTGAGCGGGGCATGCGTAACGTTGGGATGCCGGTATGGCGACGATGTGGCCGAGGTTGGCGATGTTCGTAGCGGTGGAAGCGATGATGGCGACGATACCCGTTACGACGACAAGTCGAAAATCCAGCACAGTGTTTCGCGTTCAGGATGCGCAGCATCCGCGGAGATTGAATTGACGCACCGGAAACCAAACAAAGAGAGCGGGATAGTGAGGCGATAAAGCCACGGTGTACGGGAATGGATGAGGAGGAGGTGGGCGAGAGAAACAAGATGACATTAGTATTGCGCGTGTGTGTGTATGAATGTAAATTTTTTTTTTTTTTTTTTTTTAAAGATTCAATCTCTGCACTCCTGAGAGTGAAGATGAGCGTATCGCGTGTGGCTTTAGTGATGTTTTTGCGAATCCGCGTTGCCGTTAATAATTCGGCATGCGGGACCTTGTCATTTCTACGGACACATTTCACTCTGAGGAATCTCGAGAAAAAGATTATGTTGTATTGGCTTTATTTGGGATATATTATACCGATAGATATCATGTATGGCCATTAGAAAAACGCTAACGTCTGAGATGGTGACATGTTTGAGATCTACGATGAGATAAATATTTTAATGGCACACTATAAGTCTATATATATATATATATATATATATATATATATATATATATATAGTCTTGATATTTTTTTTCTCGCGAATAAATTCATGCTCCCGTAAATGTAATGTAAGATAATCGTCGATTCCGTGAACAGCGAATGAAAATTGCATATAGCTTGAATCGCAAAATTTGAATGTTTATAAGACGTTGGTGAGAGTTGCGAAGAAGATGACAAAAATTACAGGCTATTTTTAATTAATTATTTAATTTAATTTTATAATTATAATGTTACTATTATTCGGACTCTTTGATATTGCACTTTATTCACTTATTGATTTCAGTTGATATCTATTTCTTTAAATAATAATATTCAAAATACAAATTGGTAATTAATTGATAATACGCAGACAAATATCTTATAATGTAAGTGCATTAAACCACAATATGCATTTTGATGAAAACTTGAGGGATGTAAATGTAAATGTGGAAATAACAGAGTGTAGAAGCTTGAGGTGCAGACAGATTTATTTATTTTATCAAACAATAATAATGGCTTACGTGACGGAGATTCATGAACGAAGATAAAGGCCGATGCTTCCATTTTTCTTGAAAATTATTAAATCCATTTCACTCAATAATAAATCTGATATCTACCATCAACATTACATCTACACGGCATACAATTGTTTAAAAATCTCGCTATATTTTTTTTTACAAATCTAGTCAAATAATAGTTTGATTCATTAATTTTTTCCGATTTATCAATGAATTTACTAAATAGGAGAAAATATTTCACTTTCCTCTTTCGTACGATAATTAATGAATTGACAAAATTTGGATGAAAAATATTCGTAAAAATATCAGTCGAACGGTATTTACATGAAAAGGGGAATGTAGTGCCGATATTAACAGTGAACCAACAAAGCCATTTCTATGGCTTCAATGTATGAAAGAAATGTTGAAACGGCAGTGTGGGAATTGGATTATCTAAGGGTAACGAACGCCACGTAACGAAAACAAACATAAATAACTATTCACATTGATAAATAAACAAAAATAATTAAGAATAGTCGTAATGATGAAATTATTATTTTAACTCCAAGTATGATTTTATCATGATAAAAGAGACATTTCTTCCCAGGCGATTTCACTGATTTGCCACAAACATTCTAAGAAATTTGTTTTTAAATTTCAGATATTTTAAAAAGCATTTTCAATTATGCAATTTAAATGACGAATCGTTTCAATTTCAATTAATTCCTCCGTTCTTAATATAGCCGTGCAAATATTGCTTTAAAATTCGAGTTAAACAGCTTATTTAGTAATTTAAATAGGCTTGATTTACATTCAACTGGTTAAAGGCGCGTCTCGTGTTATTCGGCAAAAATCCGAACAATAAAGGCATATCAATTTTCTTGTGTCATCCTGAATAACGTGACATCCATTTCATCACAAAATAACGCGCGACAGGGTTGACCAAGGATTTGAGAGTAAAGAGAAAAAGCAAATTTAAACGAAAAAAGAAATAATGAAAAAATGAAAAAACAACAAAAAATAGAAAAATTCCTTTCACTCTCTATTGAACGAACGACTAACTCGCTGAATCAGATTTCAACGAAGCGACGCGCTTTTTATTATTGCGTTATCGCATTTACGTTTTGCCGTATATGTCTCGTCGTATGTGTATTTCGCATTTTCAGTTAAAAAAGAAAAAAGAAAAAAGAAAAAAGAATAAAGAAATGAATGAACGCATATTTATGGCAATTATGATTTTAAGTCTATATTTATTTATTTATTTTATTTTTTTTTTTTTTTTTTTTTTTTTTTTTTTTTTTTTTTCAACAATTTAGCAGGAACAATTAACTCCATGTAGTGATTTCAAATCATAATGGATAGTTGTGTTTTGACTGTTATAACTACATAATATTATGTAACATAAACAATTCGCTCGAATATTCATTTGTTGTACTGTTTAAAACAACTCTATAGATCATACTTATAATATATAAGGCCGGAAAAGATGAATATTTTATAAGCTTTCTAAGAAATTTTAGACGTTATGAATAATAATGTGTCTGCAGCAAAAATGCGATCTAATATTACATGTTTAATAATGGAAATTTTGCGACAGATGCCGCATTTTTATGACATCATAGACTTTATAAATTTAAACACTCTCGGGCAATACATTTGCAAAAGCTTTAATGAAAAGCGAATTTGTACACGTAATGATTCTTTAAGGAATTCAAGTGAAATTTATATCACTAATCCAAGTTTGAAAAGAAATTTATGGGCAAATATACATTTGCAAAATAATGTTATTATAAGTTAAAAGTTATACGATAGAATTATATATTATTATTACACGAATTTTATTTCGTACTTTCATTTATATTGATTCGAATGGTACGTTTATCAAGTCTTTCATTTATTTAATAAAACGAATCTCAGCATTCGAGAAAAAAACAACAAATAAGCCAATAGAACACACTATGTTAAATACAATAAATTTAATAGAAAGGACAATAATTTTATAGTAAATAGAATAAAAACATAATAAAAACAATAATAAAAGGACAATAAATTTTATTCTAACTGCCTCTGGAATCTAGAATCAGAATACTTGCACATTTCATTATAGAAATGGACATTTTCATATACTATGTAAAATCATATTGTTATCTCTGTTTTGCTCAGACAAAAGTGTAACGTTCCAATCCAATCCGCGTTCCGCATATGGATATTTTAAAACGAATCAGTTGAAAAATATTCTATTGTTTTGAATTTACGTTTACCGTATCGTTTGGAGCTATATTTTGGTAGATTTTTAAAACATTTTAAAAATTGTTAAAGAAAAAGAAACAATAAAAATTGTTCACCATGCGATGTTAAATATTATAATTATTTTCAAAGGAGATTTTTCATTTGCTAGAGTGTGTGTTTACAATATAACAACCAATATTGATATTAGTTTATCACAATTATTTGCCACATATTATTAAGTAGTTTTATCATATTATCACATTATCACATCTTAATAAGCCGAATGTTTACTTCTTGATAATAATAACTCAAAAACTTGCCACGCGATACAAAAATTATATTCGTAAAATGTGTTTATTTGTTTTTTGTTTGAATTTATCGATAATAAGTATTTTAAATATTATTTTATATGCCCATCCATATCCATAATCCAAACAGTGAAACAAATATTTTTATAACGTATTTTTTATTTACATAATATTTTTTCATAAACTCAAATTTTTATTCACAATTATTGAAAATGTCTATTTAAATATATGTTTAAATAAAAATATTTTTCATCAAATTTATATTCAAGTATTAATAGTTAATTCTATTGGTGGTAATACTTTCATTAGCTTTCCAATAAACTTTGTTCAATGTTATTCTCGTGTACTTTTATTTACATGTACTTACTAAATGTAAATGTTGAGATTGGTTTTCCTATGAATTTACTAATGCATTATTATTATTATTTTATATTATTATTATTAGTATTAATTATAAGAATTTTATTTTGTAATGAAATGGCCATAATTGTGTAAATTAACAAATCAATAATTATAGAATATTATTAATAATTTTAAACAATTTTTTTTTTTAATGAAATTGATATTGATGCTTATATTTTCGTTATGAAACAAAAAAAAAAAAAAAAACATTTAGATTGATTAGATCGTTTATAAAATTTTAGAATAATTTAAAAACTTCAAATTGAATAATTACAGATGGCATACGTATAACTAAAGTGTTGTAATTTTTTCAGATGTTTTTTAGATGTTTTTTAGATGTTTTTTAGATGTTTTTTTGACAATTATTTTTACGGTGAATAATCGTATAAAATTTAGCATATAAAATATAAGAATATCTTATCTAAAAAATTATAGACTTTGTATTCTACTAAGCAATGCATATATTATTAATTATATATTGGTAATATTGTAACTAAAGTAATAACCTATAATACGTCTCATTTTACATTTGTAGATAATGTAAACGTTAAATAGGAAAGAACTGCTGGTAATATGAATGTTATTTATCTATTAGTATATTACGGTTATTTATTTTAATAATAATAATAATAATAATAATAATAATAATAATAATAATAATAATAATAGTAATAGTCATGATGATGATGATGATGATGATGATGATGATGATATTTATACGAGAGTCTCCATATTGGCATAGAACAAATAGGTATTATTAGTATTGACGAGTATTACGTATTAATTCAAAGTTCTTAAATTAAAAAAATATTATTTCATACGAATAAGTCGAGTAGCTTCGATTTTTATTTAGCTAATAAACAGTCAATGAAGAAGCGAACCGTGTATTTTGACATTTAAAAATTTCAACTAAAATACTATTTATGCTGGATACTTTCTAATATTTAATCATCGTTAGTCATCTCAATCTTTAAACATAAAATTGATCTTGAGAAAAAAGTCGTCAATAACACCAATCCATTAAAGCTATTTTCTAATTTTCTATACAATTGATCCATTGATCGGCGATCTCCATACATTGCAATAGATAATGTATAGAAAATCAACGTTGTTTTCTATCGATAATATTTCACTTGATTTTTAAGCATCAGAGTACTAATTGTAAAAAATACGTACGAATACGAAAGTTCACAAGTATCATACGTTTTAATCTTTT